TCTCTCTCTCCCTCTCCCCCTCCTCTCTCTTTCTTTCTATCTATATATCTCTCTTTCCCTCTTTCTCTCTTTCTCCTCACCCTTTTACTTTCACTTATGTCTGTCTCTCTGTCTGTCTCTCTCTGTCTGTCTCTCTGTCTGTCTGTCTCTCTGTCTGTCTCTCTCTCTCTCTCTCTCGCGCGCGCGCGCGCGCACGCGCGCGCGCGCGCGTGCTCTCTTTATCTCTCTCTATCTCTCTCTATCTCTCTCTCTTTCTTTTTCATTTATTTCTCCCTCTGTTTTTCTTTTTCTTTCTCGTTCTCTCTTTTATCCCCGAGCAAAGTAGACATGTATGTATACAACTCCTTAGCTCTTTATCATGATCCTGCAATTCGAAATTCACAATTTCAGTTAGTTTTGTTTTTGATTTTTGCTCTTATGTTATTTCTTTGAGTAACGGGTCCATGATTTACTGCCGTCGACTCAAGGGTCATAATTTGTGATGGCCTTTTTTAGAATTTTTCCTTGGTCAAAGTTTCTATGACTATTAACGACCGATCAACCTCACTCATTTGACATGTGCACAGAAATCATGGATTGATATCTGTTTGTTTGTTTGTTTGTTTTTTGCTTTGTTTCTGTTAAAAGTTAATTAAGGGTGCGTGCTTGCGGGAAAAGTCTAAGTATGATACCATGTGGCAAAATGAACCTCTCTCATAGTATAATAGTTCTTTACTCTTTCGTGCTATTAACATTTTTTGACGGTTTGTTCAATGTGTTTTAATGTGTGTACATTTTTTTATTTTACATTTCTTAGCAGAAGAAAGATGTTACCTTTTCGTTCAAGCAAGCAATCAATCATTCACTCATTCACTTTTTTTGTATAAATTATGCATTATTTTTGTCTGTTTTTTGAAGCTCCAGAATATTGTCTTGACAGAATTCAATAATTGTAATAATGTAAGGAAGCTTTGTAATTACCGCCTAGCTATGGAATATAATATTGTACTGCACTGCACTTCCACTGTGCGTGCTTAATGGATGAAGGCTCCCGGTGATGACGCCATCATTGTATGTGCACACGACTTCCTGACGTTTTAACCATAGAAGTTGAGTATAATAATATCCTAGACTGGGCACTTCTGACGTACTTCCGGTTCATGTTGGGGCGTACCATTTGACTCTACTTTGGAACCAAATTAAGAGCAATGATGGAAATGTTGCGCTCGCACTCTATTGTTTCGAGATCAATGTGAGCATCGTGGTGAAATCAGGCGCCCATCAAATTAATCAAATCGAAGAAACAGGCTTTTTCCTGACAATTTGGGAATTTGTGTCGAATAACTTTTTTTTTTTTTTTTTGCCTCAACACCTTTTAAGTCTATTTAAAAACAAATGTCTGTGTGGATTTAACTGAAAAACGTTGATTAAAGGCACCAAAAAATGTACATTTTCGTTTCCCAAAGACTCTGAAGTTATCAAAATGTGGTGACCTCCCCCTTCTTCAATCGGAAAAATATCTCGTCCTCTATTCAAGATAGATGAGATTTCTTTTCATCCAATGCAGGACAAATGCACAAGTTTTAAGCTGATACCGTTTACTCCACATGCCCGAAATATTTTTAAGAAAGCAAAGTGTGGTGGTCATCATGACAGTGTTCAGTCTAGGATAAACTTATTCAACTCTGTGCGTTTTACTCACGAAGTACTATTATTATCATTATTATTATTATGCTAAACCTTGACTGATGTCTGTTACTGCTTCTAAATAATGTTTTCATAATTTAACTCCAATATTGCTTGAGTCAAAGCAAAGTGCCATCGAACACTGGTCACGAAACTCGAATTTCAATACATCTTTTCTGCATTTTTTGCGTCATTGTTGTGAGCAATCAGTAAAGTGGCACGGTTTTATTATACACTATCCAATTTAATTTAATCTTTTCTTTACTTTAGCTTTATTTTTAAGCGAGATTATTATAGCAAGGTGCCATAGAATGTATAAAACTCCAATTTCACGCCTGTCATTTCATCATAATTTTCACTCAAGAATTCTGCGGGCTATATCTTCAACGTGCCATAATTAATTAACTTCCACACTCGGATTCCATCTCACGTTTCCATCCTTCATTTTTTGCAGTTATTGTTCTGGCTAAAACAAAGAGATTATATGAAAATGTAATTGTCAAATAATTCTTTGTTTCTTTTGTGTAAATAATATTATTCACATGTTTAATTCATGGTTTTATTTTTTGTTCTATTATTTTTTGTATATCGGGGTTTTTTTGTGCTTTCGGGGGGAGGGTGGTCTGTTTGTTTGTTTGTTTGTTGTTTTATTCCTTATTTTATTTATTTTATTTAATCATTTATTTGA